ATTTATGTTGAAAACGGTGTGTATCAATCTTGTTGGCAAATATCATAAACTGACTATATATCGGCTTTAATTTAACTACTAAATCCAAAGTACAATTTAACTACAAAATTTAAAGTATCATTTAACTCAATTTCAGGCTATTTGAAATTCTAATATGTAACAATAAAAATTAGAAAACAAGGGCCCCTGGTGGCTCATCGATAACCTTGAAAACTTAAAACATTACAATTCGGAGTTCGATCCTTGCAATGTGCATAGCACAGCTAGTCTGTTTGAAGCTTTGGGCTTTACAACAAAACAAGAAATAAATCAATATTTCCTACTTTACGATAAAAAAAATTAATTCTGACATGTGCTATCATCCGGATAACATAACTCCCAAAAATGTAAAAAATTCAGGTGTATCTACTTCTTACCCTGGCTGTCAGGACAATGAAAATTGGGATCCAATCCTTTAACCAAGAATTTTTCGATTTTCTCGATGTTCCCATTTTTTACGTGTTCAGTGAATCGTCGCAACGTGCTCTGAATAAAGGGTATAAAAATATTTGATATCACCAACTACCTGAAGAAAAACTGGTGAAAATTATGTATATTAACAAAGTAGCGTTTTTAAAGAAACATAACACGTTAAATTTTATATAACACGATATAGATCTGTGTTAAACTAAGGATAAACAACCCATAATGATAAACAAAACTGTAACAGTATTTATGAAGATAAGAATGATAAGGAGAAAACAGACAATATTTTTTAACCATTTGAAAAACACTTGTGCTTGGAATTAACTCCATTTTCTTAAAGCACTGTCTTTCAATAAATATAGTTAAACAGTGAATTATACATAAAGAATTGAGAAAAAAATCCTGTTCTGAGAGAGAAAAAAAAGTAAGTGATAAGTTTTGATGGGTCAAATTCCTCATGTTTATAAAAGAAAAAAAAAACATTTCAAGTCTCTAGATACTCTGACACTATGAAACTGCATATAGTTCAAGCAAGATCCAGATTCTGTGACAGAATATAAGTCTTATTTTATTTTCCCCAATCTTGGTAGCGAAATAAAAGTGTTGTTTAATCCTGTTTATGTTGATGTAAAATTGTAGCCCAACTTTCACGCTTCTCAGAATTAAATTGATTATTGCCACTTTTTGACCTTTGATCATGTTATGACATTTTAACTTTTATGTTAAGAACAGAGCTTGTATCACATCTTACACGTAATTCGGTCTCTTCTATTTGTTTTATTAATTTCAACTAGTATAATGAAACTTTGTTTTTTAACGTGTTATTAATGTGGATAATAAAATATATCACAGAAAAATTTATTTACGAAAAAAATAATATATTTCACAATACTTTGGTATTCTTAGATGTTTCAATGCATAATTTCAAAGAGATTTTCAAGTTGTAACTTATCAAAATGTTGGATATACTAGACTGTTTAGTGTAGGCGTTAATATTTAATTTATATTGTAACTTAATATTTAATGATTGTTTAGCATTTAAGACAGAAGTGTTGAAGATAGATTGTTTTCAAAGTGTTAGTTGTGACACATTTTTGTTACATAGCTCTGTACGAGTCGTACGTTGTGTTTGCAACTACATTGTTGTCTAGGATTTACTAATATTGTTGACGTCACGTTACTCAGATTTTGGTATTTTTCTCGTTACCTTAAGTGAGTATTGTTTTCTCACAACGTCGCTCGCGTAGTTTAGAGAAAATTCGAGGCTTCAGTTGGACAAGGAATAAATATTACGTCGTCAAGAAATTAATGTCGCGTTTTGGAACACTTTCATTAACCACCCCGAAAAACGTACATCACATACAATTGTTAAACGAACCACCTAAACGTCACGTTAGTGTAGCCTATATAATGTGTAAAGTTTAGTTTACTGTAATCCTTATAGTGATGGAACACCACGAGACACACATTCGGCATGTAATGCTGTTTGAATACAAGCAGGGATACAACGCCTCTGTGGCCACAAAGAATATCAAAGAAGTTTATGGAAATGTTTTGAACGTTCGTAAATGTCAACGATGGTTCAGCAAATTACATTCAGGTGACTTTAGCCTTAAAAACTGTGATGGCTGGGGCTGATATGTTGGAATCATGTTGATGCTCTGAAGACGCTTGTTGAGTCTAACCCAAAGCAATACACTCATAAAATGGCCCTGAAATTGCACGTCTCTCATTAAACAATACGTAAACATCTAAGGAATATGGGAAAATTCCATAAATAAGGTGTTTGGGTGCCTCACAAACTCTCCGATGATCATCGTTTCCAACGTGTAAACGTTGCTTTGTCTCTACTGGCGTGTAATGGGCCATTTTTGGACAGAACTGTTACTGGTGAAGAAAAATAAATTCTCTATGAGAATATTAAACGCCAAAAACAATGGCTCAGTCCTAGACGAAAACCATTTCCCACCCCAAAACCTGGACTCCATCCACAGAAAATGGTGCTTTACATTTGGTGGAGCATCAAAGGAGTAACTCATTTTGAACTCCTCAATTCACAGTGAACTGTCAACGCAGAGATCTATAGTCAGCAACTGGAACGTTTAAATTAAGCCCTTCATCAGAAACGCCCTTCACTCGTCAATCAGAAGGGGGTTCTTCTTCTCCACGACAATGCATGTTCACATGTGACACGTTTGATGCAACACAAGATTATGCAGTTGGGTTGGAAGTTCTTTCCCATCCATCATATTCTCGAGATATGGCACCATCAGATTACCATCTTTTTTGTTCGCTGAAACATCATCTTAATGGGAAAACGTATGCAAAATGTGGAAAGGTGTTAAAAAGGGCATCGACAAGTTTTTTGCTACAAAGCCAAGTGATTTCTGTAATGTGGGCATCAACAACCTGATT